GGGGTGTCCCGCGCGGGCTGGGCCGGCGCGCTCTCCTGGGCGCTGCCCGCCGAGGCCGAGGGACCCTCGCCACCCAGGCCAGTTCCTAAAGACCCGCGCAGTCGGGCATCGCAGCGGAGTCGCGCTTTATTTGTGGAAAATGTAAATTAGACAGCGCTATGATGACAGTACCATAGTGGAATTACTAGGAAAGAGTTGCTAGTCAATGTTAGTGTTCTACCTGTTTACTTTCAAGAAAAATCAGTTTTTGTGTGCTGGACGTTGAACCAGGGCTTCCTGCATGCCTGTCTCGGACTTTACTAGGCTACGCCTCCAGCTCAGTAAAAAGCTTGAATGGGGAAGCTACTTTTCAGACCGTCATACTGATTACCTTACGTATAGTGGAGAAAATGTCTACTTGGTTACAATGAGAAGTGAGGGCTTTCAAAGTCAGTAACAGCATATCAAGTTTCTGAAATGGTGAACGCAGTTCTTGTTTTGTCTTTTTGAGACAGGGCCTCACTGTGCAGTTCAGGCTGGCCTTGAGCTCACTCTGTAGCCCAGGCTGGTCTCGAACTCAGTGATCCTCCTGCCTCAGCCTCCCAGTGCTGGGATATCAGGCGTGCATCACCACACCCGGCATAAACTCAGTTCTTAATTGTAGTATATAAAAAATAGCAATGTTCAGAAAGCTTATATAGCAAACTTAAATGCTATATCCCAAGTAATTTTTCTATTAATACTTCTTTGGGGAGGCGGGTACTGGGAATCGAACTCATGACCTCAGGCTTGCCAGACAAGTGCTTATGCCGCTGAGCTACACCCCCAGCCCACTCTTAATATTTTTAAATGAAAAAAAAAAAAATTCTAAATGGCAAAAAAATAAATAAATAAATGGCAGTAGCAGATAGTCACCATTTTAGAGTTGAAAGAAACTTGAGAAATTACTAACTCCTTTTTAAAGATTGAAAGAATGCCTGGGGGTGATGGCGCTCCCCTATAATCCTAGCAATCTGGAGGCTGAGGCAGGAGGTGAGTTCAAGGCCAGCCTGAACTGCATAGTGAAACCCTGTCTCGAAGAGACAAAAGTAAATAAATATAAATATTGAAAGACTAAGTTATGATAGATAAAATGGTGCTGCACACAACCATTTACTCAAGTGAGTTCGATGCTTTGTATTGCTATTTGAACCCAGGAGCGCTCTACCACGGATCCACAGCCTAGCCCTTTTTGTATTTTATTTTGAGACAGTAGCTGACTAAACGGCCCAGATGGCCTCAGACTTGTGACCCTCCTGCCTCAGACTCCAGAGCAGTGGGGATCGGAGGCATACCCCACTGGGGTGGGCTAGGTGTGTTTTTAAGTAGCGTAATTTGCTTCCTTTAAGCTGGTTTTGCTACTAAACAATAAAAAGCAAGAATCAAGTAAGCAGTGCTATAATTTTGTGATCCTTTAACCCATCAGAAAAAAGAACTGTTTATGTTTATATTTTTTTTAAGATTGTGACCATCTTCTAGCCCTAGAAATTCAGAGATGGGGTAAAGCATAGCCTCTATTCTTAAGAAACACAGAGACAAAAATATATATAT